ATCCCTGTGGTCTAACCGTAGATGGTACTAGTCCGTCAGCCAGCATGTGCCCGAGCCCAAGTCGCGTACGACTTAGGCAGCGGACCGCCCCGTCGAGGTCAGAAGACGCACTGATCCGAGGGGGTCTCCCTGGAACCCGATGCATGACGAGATTGACAGTGACTGTAAATGAGTGTCGGAGACGAGTCGTGAGGATGACTGATGAAGCATGTACTTATCGAGTACACGAGAGTACGTCGCGCAGGCTAGTCGATACTTAAGAACGATCGCGATTATCGCGAGAACAATTATGTTCTATTTGGTAAACGAAAGGAATAAGGAAAATATGAAATGTATATATTCGCTCCAAGTTAGGTAGCATACCTTTGTACAGATAGCACGCACAAGATACTTAGTCTAGGCATCTATCTTATGGCTACTTAGGTCTACTTAGGTCTAAAGATACGCATCCCACGTCGTCCATTTGTGTCTCAAATGAAGTCTTGTGGAAACTTGAGAATCTTGAGAAACCTAAAAGCTAAAACAGATTATATTATTGTTAATATAAACCTGAAAGGAAACGGATTAGTACGAGGAAAGAAAACGGACGATTAGAAACCATGAAGGTTAATTAAGTGGAAGAAGCAAGCCACCGATGAGACAGAAACAAACCAACAATGAGACATAGAGAGACCAACGATGAGAAATAAACAACTCAACGACGAGACATTCGAATATTATACGAAATATTCGAATTGTCAGATAAAAATAAATAAAAACGAACAAATATTATCTGAAAGAAAAAAAAATAGTTAAAACCTAAAAAGAGAAAAAAGAATTAATGCCTGAAAAAAAAGAAAATTAATAGCTGTAAACAAAAAAGAAATGATTAGTAAATTGTTTAATGGGGTGGGGGGGGGGGGCCAACCCCAACCTCACTTCGAATCCCTACCCCTCGCGCACAACGAAAATTTAGATGTTACACTTTCGAAGTCGAACCGACAAATGAATTATGCCACGTCGCATCGCCCCTTATATAGCCGTCGATCGGCCGAGCTCCCCACCCCGATCATAAATTTTCGATCATTACTGATTCCATTATTTATTATTTTTCCGCGTTAATAGTCAATAATTTATTAATTTTATTAATTTTTTCACTTTTATTATATATATACGTTACGAGCAATTTGTTAATAACAATATTAATTTGTTATAAACAATAAGTGTAATAATTTATCAACTTTTTGCAACTTATAGGTACATTTTATCATAAGTATGTCATAAGTTCAATTAGTAGTCAATAATTTATTAATTTTTTCACTTTTATTATAAATTTATGTTGGAAAGAATTCGTTATTAACAATATTAATTTGTTATTAATAATAAATTTGACAATTTTTACATGTTTTATAAACTAAAACTACATTCGCACTTCCATAGGATAAATTTCTGTAATACGTATATATATGCCAAAATATTTTTATTTTCTCTATATTTTTAGTTAAAGCGAGGTATTACACGAAGAGTAAAAACGTTGAAAGATTTATTCTCTTCTTGAAAGCTACTTGGGATCTTATTTTTTAACAATTTTATATTAAAAAATTATCTTACTTTTTAAATAATACTTTATTTTAGTAAAAAATCGCGCCTTTTTAGAAAAACTCTAAATTTCACGAAAATTGAGGTTGATAGAGCAATTCCAATTACGGATTCAAAGAAATAAAGTAATTAAATAAAATAAAGAAAATAAAGTACTCAAGAAAATAAATTCCACAAGACTCCAACAAAACACCTAATCCATATTAGAGATTAGAGAAGAAGTTAAAATTCATTAGACAGTGTTATTAATAAAATAACCATGTAACGTACCCAAAGGATATCGAATATTATAATTTATTTACACTAGAAAAATTTCTAAATCGAAACCAGGAAGAATGTAAAATAAAAATTCGTTTATTACCCGAAAGTTAACTCTATATGGTAAATATATTTTATTTTTAATCATTAATGGGCATCGGTTAAAGAAAAGGTACGGTGTTATTTACAAGTAGGTTATTTTGCTTTTATTATACTCATTATGAACGGTGTCAGAGTATAAATACGACGTGAAAATATCTTCCAGAGAGGAAATTTTGTCTGACGACACGTTGCACGCACAGTGCCGTTAAGCAACGGTGTTTGTGAACATTAGCGCCACAGGTCTCAGAACCCAACGTAGTGATGCTCTCTTACATTGTGCATGTGATATTGATCTAACATCGTCATTCTTCATAGTAAATACCTGTGAACATATTTTATACCTACCCATTTTATTTTTTGCTCTGACGTTTCATACGCGAATAAATTTCTTGCGGGTATCATTTTGCACGTGAATGAGTAACAGGAAAATAATTCGCATTAAGAAGGATCGAATAAATGCATATGCAGAGATATAACAAAAATTCTCAGTTATACAAATGCTTCCTTGCGAGTATCGTTTTATACGGAATGAACAATAAGAAAATTACTCGCGTCGTTTAAATAAATTTCACGTATATAGAATTGTAACAAAATTTGATAAATATCTTTATTTGTTATTGTTAGAATTAGTAAATTTAACACGTGTATCATAAATATTAGCGTTTAACGAAAACCAATTTTATTCTTTTAAATTACTTTTAGTATCTTTTTAAACGAGTTAGATACATTTATAAAACTTTTAAACGGAGATATTAAACAGAAAATTAATCTGTAAAATCTGATCTGTTTTCCGGGAAATACCAGAAACGAGGGAAGGAAATAGTAAAGTAATAGTAACTAAATGGATTTCATAAATTTCTAATTTTAATTCGAGTTGTATTAATTGTACTTAGAGAGAAAATAAACTTGAAAGATAAAATCTGAAACATTCATTCATAAGTATCTGATGATTTTAACGAATAATTCTAATTTCATAGTTTCTCCTTGTTATAATGTTTGATCGCAAACATTGTTCACTCGAAGGAAGAGAAACGAAGCAGTTGAATTTCTTGACAATTACAGGAAACTAAATATCAGAAATAAATGGAAATTAACTAAATAATTACAATAGTGGTGATATATATAAATAAATTAAATAAATTAAAATAAATAAATAAATTAATAATATATGATAAATATAATGATGAATAAATTAATATATAATGATAATATATAATAAATAAATTAATAGATACAAGACATTGAAGAATAAAAACGCAAGATCATAGTATCAAAGAAAAATAGTACGATTTATCGTGAATTACAAATGAGAAATAAGGTAAAATCTTTGTAACGGGAAATAACGTATTATGAATAATTAATAAGATTTCACATTCCAGAATTGCAGCATAACAATTAGGATTACTGATCCTTGGTTTTTAATACCCTACCTTTGACAATTTAATCCTAATCAATCGCAGAGTTATAATGTGTACCTGTGGTCGTGATAAGGATAGCGCAAGCGCGAATGTAACCAGTAGTTTCCGAGAAAAACAGATGGTTGATGGCATCCGCGGTACGAACAATTTGTTCGCGTTCAGTACGAGCCTGTGTGTCGGTAGGAAAGCATCCGTGTCATCTCGTCAGCAATGAAAAACTTGGAAATGAATCTCCGTGGGCGTTCGATAAATTCGATTACGTTGGTGACGTGAAAAATGGGACATGGGTTTTTGTATTAAATTCTTTATTGATCTAGTAGGGATATATTCAGTGGTTCTACAGCTGTTTGCGTGCTTTTGGTTTAATTCGCACGTGTTCAAAGTTTGCTTCCATGACATTGTTTACTTCGAAATATATTCGCTTGGTAATGAAGAAAAGTTCAAATTTACATTTAATTTGTGTTCTTCTATTTCTCGTGATAGGTGGATTAGTTTTTTAATCGTGTTCACGACTACAAATTAATTTTAGGCTATTTTCTTCGTGTTACTTTATATTATTAATTATTTAGAACTATTGATAGTTGATAAATTTTGTGCGCGTATCTGATATGATAAGAACTAGATAAAGGAATGTAAAAGATAAAAGATTAACTCTTCCCTGGATCATGATCCGAAACTTAAATATTGAACAATTTCTTGAATACGATGGTAGGTACTTCCTAGCAAACTTTGCGTTCATTGATTTCAAATCGAGCATCCTTTATTTTTCATTTAACCTTCCTAGAAAGTTTACAGATAAGAAAAGTTAGTTGAAAATAAAAATGGCGTATTCACAAGCAGCTCATAATTATACGAACCACGTAGCTTTCATACTTGGTTTTTATTACAAAGGCTAAGTAAGGGTTCTTTGCCATTGCTAACACATACGATTATTTATTAGAACAATGAACACTTTCTTCATCCTATCATTAGTCGCAAATTATCTTCAACCTAAATTACTCGAGAGATTTATTCTATTGACTTTCGAAACTGTTCCACCAATTATGATCGCTATCATAATCGCGCATATGAATCGCGCGTATGCAATTCAAATAACTTCCTTAGAATATATAATCTTCAAATATTTAAGAAAACAGAAGCAATACAACTAAATATAATCCTTCGTATATAACTTCCTCAGACGCTATTTCTTTAACCAAAAAAAAAAAAAGAAAAAAAAGATTCAAAAGGAAAGAAAGATTTTTCCAGATCCCACCAAAGAATCGTTCTGTTACAGTAGAAGCACCATCGATCATAAATATTTCACTCGCTTTTTGAATTAACTCAACGCGCACCTTTCTACTCTCGCTTTTTGCTCTCGTCGAATCAGTTGTTCAAATCGTTCGAATCGTTATCGTACTAAAAGTCCATGGAGAACACGTACAAATTACCGAGAACGAAAGAAGCGCTATCAGATGTTGGTTGAAACCGGTGATACGCTAAAAAGAATGGCTCGAGACGCGGCAGAGGCTGCTGATGCCCGTAGTTCTGTTAAAGATCGCTAGATCGTCAGTCGTTTCGCGCACGATCAACGGAAGTTTCGCGGTCTGGACGTTTCTGCGGGGTCTTTGATCGATAATTTTATCGGGACAAAAGTGACCGGCGGTGAGAGTGTCCCAGTGAGAAGCAAGAAGTCGTTGGAAAGAAAAGTATGCAGTTACTTTCCAGCTTCATGGCGAGGCACCTGAAGCGAGGAGCATCCTTGAAAAAAGGTACGGTACTGCGGTCAAGACACCAGGAGAACACTCATTTAGAACAATGCCACCGTAATTGCTACGACAGAAATATGAGCCTCTCGAACTGTGTTCCTCTTTGTTGGGCCAGCGGCCGTCGACTCCTCGCATTTTCCCAATGATACGTGCACGATTAATCACGATTCTCTCACGATCGAAGGATTTGTCCGTGGCTGAGATTATTTTCCCGCATGCTGCAAGACTTTCTACCGGTCAGGCTTGATTAACGACGAGCCTTTGTCTTCCTCTTTGATTTATCACTTGGACAATTGTTCTTCCAACTTGCATGTTCTTGGAATTCTTTCACTTTTCCGATTGTACTTTGTTTATGAAAGTATTTTATATAGATCACTATGGTAGTTGTACTCCTAGTTTGTCTACTGTCGGATTTCTCTCATATTTCAATGGTTTATTGTGCACGAAGAGTATTTTGTACAGTCACTTTAACCATCATTGTCCCATCTTGCTCGCTGAGAGAATCTTTTTGTTTCCTCGGTGATCTATTTTGAATGAAAATATTTTATATACATCACTTCGACGATTATTCCACTATCTTGTTCATTATTCTTTCATATTTTCAATAGTTTGTTTCGTGTGAAAATATTTTATGTAGATCACCTCGAAAATTTTTCTTTCATCTTGTTCTTTGTTGCACTTCTTTCATATTTCAATGGTTTATTTTATATGAAAATATTTTAGGCAGATCTTGCATCCTTTTCGTTGTTAGGTTCCTTTCATGTTTTCAATGGTTTATTTTAGATGGAGATATTTTATGTACATCACTTTCGTGACTATTTTTCCATCGTGTCTGTCGTTGGATTTCTTTCACATTTCCTACGATTTATTTGGAATAAAAATTCTTTATACCGGTACTTTATATTCGATGCCATACGTTAAATGGGTATCTCAGGTTTTACATTTTTATATTCCTACGTTTAACCCTTTGCACTCGAGAGGCGACCCTCAGTCGCCATTTAATTGGGTTCTAAAGACCGATGTTAATTAATATCTTAAATTTAAAATTACCCAACGATGCGTGGAATATCGAAGTAAAATAATTCTACATCTTAATTTGCACGCGATTTCTTATTTACCGTTTTAAAAATATCGTCCACTTCATGACAGAATGTCTTCGAATTATTATTTCTCTGCAACGAAGAAATCACCGAGTGCAAAGCTTTAAACGTGGAAATATAAAACATAAGATACCCATTTAACGTATGGCATCGAATATGAAATACCGGTGTAAAGAATTTTTATTCCAAATAAAAACTTTTATTCCAAATTTTTATTCCAAATATGTACCATGATGTGAAAATTAACAGACTCTAAATAGAACATTCTTAAACCGTTTGCACTTGATAAATCAAAGAAACTATATTTACAGCTCTTGTGAAAGTTTCGTTTAAAGCATGAAGAAATGAAAATTCATAGATATACTGTATTCCAATGTCGCATTGAGAATAGCTGCGATAAATGAAAAGGAGAAATGGCATCAAGTAGGTTAATTCTAGAGTAGGATTTCATAGTAATTGCGAGGAAGGTATTTTCTTTGATTCGATTTTGTAGCATTGCTTTCGAAATATTAATATGGATGTCCCATTTGTCTAAGTCAAAATTGAAAAAAGGAAAAGGAAAAGGAAACTCGATAAACTCTACTTTCTCTCGTGTAGATAATCTCTCGGAGTTGATCTCGGCTCGTCAAATTGTTAATCGTTGAGAAACGGAAGAGGACCATTATAGATTGAAACGAAAACTACATTAAAACACACGGTATGAAATTGAAATGTAAGGAAATATATTCAGGTCGTTGGATATCTAGCTCGGGTGTAATTGAGGCTAACATGGTGGAAAAAAGAACGTCGTTAATTGGCGTCATTATCGGACCATTTAAGATACAAATTGTGCAATTTACAATACTGTAAACTACGTTAAAATAGACTGATACAAATTCAAAATGATATCTATATTTATGATTGGATTAAAAGAAAAAGCTCACGATACCGGAATGTTATTTCACAACGTGAGAAATATTGTCCATTTGGAGCAAATAATAACGTAGTTTATCAAATATTTCATCATTGACATAATTACAAATCAATGAATAATTCTATATATTCATTTGAATTTTCGCTCATTTACTTGCAAATCGAGTTATTATTGTGTGTTAACTTTCATTTATAATCACATGGCTTATAACCATTCGCATAATGAAATTCCATAGAAGTCAAACTTGATATATTCAAATAGACCTGTTATTCCATGCTCGTGTAATATGTCATTAACTTCCACGCTGATATAACTCAGCTTCGATAAGGGCTAATAATAATTGGTTATTACGAGTAGTTGTAATACGAGTGGTGCGATCTCAGAGGGTTCCGAAGCAGGTTTCGCGTTTATATAGTCGTTTGAAACAGATTGTTTTGTTTTTCACGGTATCAAAGGTAGAAAGCGCATGATCTACCTTATTTGATCAATATGAACCGAAATATCTATGTGAAGTTCGAAAGAAGCGGTTATAATCACGCGACGTTAGTATTGTATGATCAGTGCGGATAGTGCAGTGATTCTTAGCTGAAACATTGCTCTGGTATATTTAAAGTATATATTTATATCGTCTTTCGTAAGTGTGATTAACAGTCAGAAAACATTTTAATCTTCCTACGTGCATTTGTTTTACAATTAGTTGCTTAAATAGAGTGGCTCGTTAATTTATTTAAGAAACAGAATAAAATAGTTATTCTTGAACCCATGGAAGTGGATATTGAACACAAAGATGAGTTTTATATTTTTTATTTTAAATTTGCAATAGCACAAATAAATATTTTTGCATTCTTTAGCGTATTTATAAAGGCAACGTTTAATATTCGTGTCGTTTATTATTTTGTTTGCAGAATAATTTAGAAAAATTATAAAGTCGATAAATTTTATATAGACACTGCATCTTTTTCGTGTTTAATCTGATCAAAATTGCACTAAAGAACAATCGTATACCTACTTTAGAATTGTTAGGAGTAAAAAATGATCAAGCAGCGACATTGCATGGATTTTCATTCTAAAAGTTCAAAAGTCAAAATTGACAATAAATTGAAAAGATACCTTTTGTTTATATAAACGTATTTTTCTTTTACATTTAATATTTAAATAACTGCAGTATGAGTTTTCCATTAAGTGTACTAATCTTTTTTCTTCCTTTTCTTTGTTTTTGATATTGTTATATGAAAAACTAACCTTCTGACCTTACAAAAATGTAGATTTACAGTTCTGTAATCCGAGTACTAGATACGGTAACACTTGGAAAGGTTGTGGTATCAATTTCTGTGCAAGGGGTGCTTGTAATGCCAAGGTCTTGTCCTCGATTTTACCTGCTCACTCTCTTAAGTATAACAGACGATGCATGTCTACTGACATTTCAATCGTGAAATTAAATCTTAGATGAACCTTAGATCTTAATATTTATTTGTAAAATGAAACTTGTAACATAAAAAGTATTATATATATATTCTTATAGCAACTACCAAAATTTATCACTATTGCGAGTCTGTTTTACTATCTTATTTATACTTTCTACAGCATAAAGGAATTTTGAGAAATTGTATAGTATCCGTTGCTTTTACTCGAATAGAACTTCAATAATTAGATTCAAAAAAGATATAGACACATATGTTATCAGACTGATCACCTTGATCTATACAATTCCGCATTCACTGTTTCCTTTGAACATATAATTTTCTCATTACTCATAGTAATTACATGTCAAGGAGATCCTACTTGTATTTAAAATTAACGAAAGTTTTCCTTTGCTCCTTTCATAAGTGAGATGTATAAATTATTACCACTATAAATATTCAACGATCTGCGATCAAAGTATAATACCTCAAAAATAGAATAATCGTGTCCTAAAATTTACAGTAAAATTTATAGTAAATAAATCATCATTGCAACATTTACACATTCAATTTATCTAATTCATAAATAAATAAGTAAATACATGTTAATCAGTCGATTATTAAATTATACGCTATAAATCTATTAAATCTATTAAATAATCTATTAAATAGACTGTCGTTATTTATCTAATTACTTATTCTTTCGTGTGCCTCGTCCTTTCTACTAACACTTGAATTACCTTGCTGTAAAATATAGCTAAATGCAGTATAAATTGATACTAATAATTAAAGTGGCACAACGATGCATAATTAATTTCAATTTGAATAAGAGTTAACGTTAATTTTGTCAAGAGTAATGTTTTAATTAATTGTATAAATAAAAAGTCAAAGGCCAGTTACCTTGATCTTGATGTTAAAATACTTCAGTGCCACTAACGTCAAAAAGTGTGTTTTTACGGGTGTTTTTACCCGCGTTTAGTTAATTTTCCAAAGTGGGTAAAGTCACAGACTCGTTCATCGAAATCGGTTTCAATCTCGGAATCGTATACGAGATTCACGCGACATTTACGAGGGCCGAACATAAATCGAGGTGGACGACTTAACAAATGGATCAAGTAAACGCGACATTCCTCGAAGACTGTCCTGGATTCATCATGTATGTAGATTGCGGTATCGTTAATTGCGTTCAAACGACGTTCGTCCTTGCACCCCCAGTCGCATTGCAATTGATATGCATACTGGCTAGGAAAATATTATGCGCGAAAGAATGTCAAGATTGTGTGATACCACGGTTTTTATCCGAACGGTGAAAAATGGGGCGGATTATTCCTAGAGGAATGACATTCGTATCGTTTTTCCGTGGCCTTTTGTCAGTGACAACGATATTTTATGTGAAACTATAAGAGTCACAGTATAAATACTTAAAGACTTGTATTATACATACACACATTATAGGTAATATATTTTATGGTTGTATAAATTTATGAATTTTATAAATTACATTTTTTGAAAACCACTATTATTATATTATACTTATATTATATTAATATTATATTATATTATACGCTAATATTATATTTTGATATATAATTAATCTTTTTCACTGCTAATTATATGCATATTTACTTTAATCGTTATAAAATTGCGTTATTTATAAAGAATCTGTAGTATGCAGTATATCACAAATTAAAAAGAAGGAAATCTTTTCTTTATTAGGATTAACTCTCCATAAATTGATCTCTTGAATGAGTTTCTTCAGTATACCTTACCTAATATCCTCAATTTTAATCATCCTCTAATATTCTTTTCCTCTTCACTCTAGTATTCAAATACTTTTTAAATATTTTGTTCAATGTATTATACGTATAGATTCCGAACACGATTGAACTTAATCACTTAATGTCACGTAGTTGTGATAACCATAATTATTAAAACGATATTAATACTTATATTCCTCTTATTCTTCTTTTTTCAGGCAAACGAGAAGTTACTGGAGGCGGAAATTCTACAGGTAATTGTTCTGGTTCGACAGGGGGTCCACCCAGAGCCATTAACAATACCACTGGATACAATACTGCACCTGGGGGTGCCAATATGACCCCCGAGGATACTGCTCCCGATGAAGAGTTTGCCTTAGCTGTTATCCAGAAGACTCAGGTGAGACAAATTCTTTTGTCCCATTCGTATACCTGCTGTGATGCATCAAAGTGTACGACATAAAGCGAATGAAGGATTGTCTACGTAAATCACGTTACATTATCCTTTTGTAGAAAATTCAATATCTCGAAAGTACACTGTGTCCTATAAAATTAGTACTTTAATATAAATATCCGTATAAATATATTCATAGCACGTGATATGAACGGTATTTAATTCAAAGTTTCAACTTGGGAAGAAATGATCGAAGGATTATCTACGTGAATGATGTTACATTATTTTATAACAGGAAATATAATTTCTTAAAAGTACCAACGTGTTATGCGAAATATTTTATTATAAATATTAATATAAATATATTTTAGGCATGATGCGAAATGAATTTCCCTAGTTTCATGTTCTTTCGTGGAAAATTATTCCGGTATATATTTATTTTAATATCTGTAACATGGAAATAACGCAAAGAAAAAAATTAAATGATGCCAAATGATGCTCTATATTTATATAAATTTGAATATTTTCTTTTGTAAATCTAAAAATTACTTTTTGCAAAGATAAATAGTAATAGTTAGTGATAAATACGTATATAGATTATTTTAGTTACTATATATGCACATCGTTACCATTTGGCAGGAGATTATTAAATACAACGCTACCTAGATTTCACGCACTGAAAAGGATCATGGGAATATATTACTGTAACGACCATGTAGTTAATGGGCACGTTAAGGTTAACAGGATTTCCTAATATTAATTACCGACGGCTTTGCTAGCATATTAAACTGTTCCTTTAGTAATATTGCAAAAAAAACGCCGCAAAGCATTAATTATGCAGAATATTAATCGTAATGATGAAAGGACATCCATATTTTTGACTTATTTGTAACGTGAAAAGAATTTCTGCACAGTCGTAATTAGTTCTCGAGCATCAGCAAACCATAGTAATTAAGATTTCTAAAATACTTCCTGTTATTCAAAAATCAAGATGGCCTCGGATGTTACCTAACCAGTTACCATTTCTTAATAACAAATATCCTAATGGCATTCGAAATCATAAATGAAAATAATATATTTCGATACTAAGTTCTAGTATTAACTTTCAATTTAATCCGTTCTGTAATATTACATATCTTTATATGTGATACATACGTACACATTTTAACACTCATACGATTTTTCATTATAATATATCGCGAAAAATTACTTGATTTTTATCGTTGGATTTATCTCCATCTGACTGCGTTAAAATAGCAAAAAGAAAAAGAAAAAAATAGTAGAATCTAATCTAAAAGCGAAAAGTCATCCAGATTTTTCTTAATCCTTTAACTCTTCTCTATCAAATTATTCATTACAGTTGATTAAAATTCATTATACTTCGTTACAATGCGCATTCTTCGTAATAGCAATTATCCATAAAGTATTCTCTCGGTTATAATATTCATATCATTTGTTAACTGTCGAAAATGGTAATTCACGTGAACAGGAGCAACGCGGAAAATCCATACTTGAAAGTTTCTATGCTCGTTATTTCCCGGACTAGTACAGTTGGACGGAATACGTGTTTCCACCGTGAAAATGCGACGGCATGAAAATTACCATTGTACGCCATACGCGATCGTAAATAGCAGTAAGTCTCTTTTTCATTTCATATGAAATGCATCGCACGCAGATACATAGTTCCAGTGGTCCCTGTTCTTGTAACGGTAGGAATCTTTCGACGGAATTTACGTGATTCGAATGGTCAACCTCATCAAAGGTACAAAGGCACAACAAATGTTCCCCGGGAAATGTTCCTTCGGGATTCTCTTGGTTGATGCAGCTCAACGTTAGCTGAATCGCAAACTTGAAAACACTGTACGATGTTTTCTGGCTTTTCTTACAGCTGTGAGACTAAATTATATGTTCCTTATAAAAGAATTATGCTTTATTAAAGAGGGAAAACAAAGGCGTACTAGGTAACTGCAAATACGATGTTAAAAAGAATTTATGAAATGATAAACTAAAACTGTGCGTTTATAATGAATTTTACTTGAGTAGCATTATACTCGCTGTTTATAACGAAGAAAAGCTTTATTCCTAAAAGGTAAGGGCTAAATTTTCTTAAATTTTGATGGAAAAATCGCATTTTATTATTTCATCGAGGCATCAAGGATTTTAGTAAATTCTAGTAAATTTACCAAGTTTGGTAACTTTAAGAAATTTTTCATCTTCTTTCACTGTCGAAAGTTTTTACGATGTTACTTTTATAAAGAAGGTTTCTCAAATATTAACCAATTTTGATGAAAATTAAGGAGGACACGGTAGATTAAAAAATATTTAAATGGCAATCATATCTGGGGAATAAAAATAACTAAATCAATTAACTAGAAAGTATTACTCTTTGTTCCATCTTTTTAACGACTTAATATTTTGAAAAATCGTTTATATAGTTAAATTTGTTATTAAGTATCTATAATTTTTCTGTGCAACATATTCCGTACCAGATAATTTTCGAGATATCGAGAAAAATATATTTTTCGTTAGACATAGATGGTCGATACAGAAATATACGGTGACGAATATTTTCTCGAAGGTCATATTCTCCGTAAATCAAGTTAGAAATGCTTGGTGAACCTTCTTTGTCTAGAAAATATCTATATTTCCAGTCGTGATCAGTTGAGTCAATAGCTCGTTTAATTCATAGTGCAGTCTGCATTAGAATACGAACATAGAATGAGCGCATTTAATTAATAATAGCTTGATTTAATATGGGATATCCTAGTTCGGAGTATATGGGTGCAAAGGAGAAATTATTGTCTACGTGGGAAATACCGCGAGTAACGCTTTCCGGAGCGGAACTCGTGAGACTTCTTCAGTGATTTTTATCGCTGCATTCCTTACCTTGTCGACACTAAAGGGAGAAGAATAGGTCTGCCTATTAAGGCGCGAATTCCTCGGAGAAAAAGTACTCCCTATCACAGAAAGTCTCCATTCTTTGCACAACGTAATTTGTACGAAAAAAAGCGAACTTCTTCGAGCGATGACATTACACGTTGTACCCTTATTCGATGGGAAAAATTGTAGGAACAAGAACCAAGTCACGTTAAAATGTGTCGAAACTCTTATAAATCTAATTTTCAATCCTTCACTCTGATTATCTTGCTTTCAGTGGCATTTATACTTAAAACAATGGGTGTTTGTTAGATATGCTGTTCGACAATGTATAAATCAACAAAGAAGAAACTCTTATTGACTAAAAATTTAGAACTAACAAGGAGAGTGCAAGTCCTTCGACTCATTGATTTAGTTGAAATTTTGCAGGTTTGTAGATTTAGTCATCTTGTTAAAAAAACAAAAATATATCATTTAAGGGCAACTACTCGATAGTTTTTGAGATATTTATGATCGAAGATTTATTATTCTTAACTAGAGATTTCTTCCAAATAATTATCGATAGTTATCAAGTGTCGTTGTGGCTTAATAGCGATATTCGAAAATTCCCATGCTGGTGGTAATTTTCGGATGTTGTTATTAGGCCACAACGGCACTTGATAAATATTCGAAATAAATGAATTATTAATTAATTAAAGCAATAATAAAATTCTAATCAGAAATATCTCGAAAATTATTGATTAGTTGCCCTTATGATATATTTTCTGATATTTATGATTAAAGATTTATTATTCTTAACTAGAAATTTCTTCCGAACAGTTATCGATAGTTATCAAGTGGCATTGTGGCCTAATGGCAACATCCGAAAATTTCCACCAACGTGGGAATTTTCAAATATCGCCATTAGGCCACAACGGCACTTGATAAATATTAGAAATAAATGAATTATTAATTAATTAAAGCAATAATAAAATTCTAATCAGAAATATCTCGAAAATTATTGATTAGCTGCTCTTATAATAATATTTTTTCTTGAACTGGATGACTAAATCTACAAACCTACAAAGTTTCAACTAAATCTATGACCCGAAGAACTTGCACTCTGCTTGTTAGTCTCTTGGAAAGAGTAAGACAACTATTATTCAATTATTCAATTGCAAATATATTTTTATAAACGTCTACGTGTCGTTAGAAAATATTCATCAGGAGGACTAATGCTAAACATATATCTACTATAAACTTAGGGGTTTCTGATACCTATAAGTTGCTTAGAACAAAACATTCTGACTACAAGATGTCTACAACATTTTTGTAAATCGAAAAGCTCGAGCCTAGAAATACAAAGCTCCTACTTACCTCTCTTGGAGCAAAAATTCCATTAGAAATCTATGCTTAGGTGTACCGATACCTCATAGACACCTGATACAAATCACCTACGACACGACAGATCTAGCAGTTTCCACTAGTACGCACATGTTACCATTTTGTTTCTTCAACGACACCATTTCGCGTTTAACATTCGTGAACGAGAAACGATTTAAATGCATGCGACCATGTTTTACGGGCTCTTAGTCATCTATCGTCTGCATGACGAAAATCGTCTTGAAACTTGCTGCCCGCGATTTATATTCCTCGCGCAAACCGTCCGGTACAGTTACAAATGGTACAGATGCAGGAGACATAAGCACACCGGGGTATAAATTGGAAAGCGATGCAACACGTTTGTCAGGTTTGGTACGCTTTCAAAAATTCCAGAGTATAATTCCGCTGGCTGTTTACGCTACGCGGTCTCATTGTCGCGGCGCGAGTGCCATTATGGTTGCGTACAGATGACCGAAACGACAAGTTTTACCTTTCGTTGCCTCATGAATGGCGAAGATATTCATTGTCCGAAGGATTTCGTCTCGAAGCACCAGGTGGTTTTACGATCGAAGTCGGTCCCTTAGCATCGGGCAACTTTCTAATTAATGAAATGTTACGTTCTTGACGGAGCAGGTAGTATTACTATTGCGTAAACGTACGATACGAGACAAGGGACAACCACGCGTTTTCCTTTATCTTCAAGTTTATCCGAAGTTTATCGAAATAGGGTTAACCCTTCGCACTCGAGAGGCGCCTCTCGGTCGCCATTTAATTGGGTTCTAAAGATGGATATTAATTAATATGTCAAATTTATAATTACCCAACGATGTGTGGAATATCGAAGTAAAATAACTCTACATCTTAATTTGCATACGATTTCTTATTTACCGTTTTCAAATTATCCTCGACTTTTGTTAGTGGTGGATGAAATTTAATAACGATAAGAACAATTATTTATTTAATTATAAAGATTATAAAACACAAATATTGGGTTGGAATATAATTATTTTATCATTATCACATGCTCACACGTCTTCTCTGTATTAATACTCAATTGCAACTGACATATGCCAAATCACTCTCTTTTTTTCTTTCTTCTCTCATACATTACATTAATATACACAATTCTCACAACACCTCAATCATTACACGCATACTCATTTATCATAATAACCTGAATTTATTAGATATTTCCATCCCATGCATACTTGTTCCACTCATTCCAGTACATATATATTTAAAAATCTATGTAACCAATACCGCAACTTTATGGCAGAAAGTCTTCGAATTACTATTTTCTCGTAACGAAAAAGTCGTCGAGTGCAAAGGGTTAAAGAATATGAGAAGAACCAGTTTTCAATCTTCGTGTAATATTTAGCCTTAACCGAGTGATTTTATCCTCTACTATCGAATAATTCATCTTTATTTCATAATATTCCTTTTATTTAAGAATAATATTTTTATTATTGTATTTCAACCATTTGCACTCGACGATTTTTTGGCTAAAGAAGAATAGAAATTCAAAGATTCCCTACTAAGAAACTGACGATACTTTTTTGAGCAGTAAATAAAGAATCGTATAATAATAGAATTAGAGAATTATTTGATTTCGATATCACGCACACTGCTACATTACATTAAATTTGACATGTTAATTAATATCGATCTTCGAAATTTTATGAAATGGCGACTGAAGCTCACCTCTCGAGTGCAAAGGGTTAATCGATAATATTTTTATCGCCTTTATCATTCTCTTCCTTTAACATTTTATTTCTCCATATATTACAATGCAACTTTTACATTGCACAGATTTATAATAAAAGGCAATGTTTAATTGAAATTGAAATTATCAGGGCGAGGAAAGTAAGAAGCGTTGCTAAATGATTATTGAATCACAAATATTCAATAATCGTAAATATTTGAATTTCTTCGATATTAAATTTTTGATTCCCTGCTTTATAAACTTTCTATAAATTTGTTACTGCTTTTATTGTTTCGAATATTGATACAGTGTTTAATTTTTATCCTCAGAGATGCTGCGCATTTTTTACGTAAATATCACACGTATTAAAAGAAGTTTACTGCAGGTTTCACAACGCAACTTTCTCCTCTTCCATATTATTCGTACTGTTGACTTAATTGCAACTTGCCTCGTTACGTATATGCAAAACTGCACTTTTACATTTATCGATGATACATGCGAACGTCAGTTTCATTGAGAAAATCGCGACTACTTTATTATACGCAGATCGGGGAAAGGTAGGAAGAAAAGTTCGACATTAAAAGCTTCAATAATGCGAAATATCGAATTTTGGTATAGCGTAAATATTAATGCTTCTCGAAATATTTCTAGAAGCGTAAAATTCGTGTAACATTTTTATTCCAATCAATTGCTTTTATTCATGCTATTTAATCTGATCATCCTCAGGTTAATGACGTTTTCCATGACGCCAGAGAAACTTCTTAGATGTACTTGCACGCGATGTTGCGTGAGTATACACGAATCGTGTCCTATATCCTAGCAGGATGAAGGAATAATGATTTTTATTGTTGTACGACTTTCGCTTTATTTGCTTTTTCACTAGGGAACCTTTGGTGAATTAAACAAAAATAAAAATCTGCTAATTGCAACATTTTCAATAACGTATATATATATATATATATGTACATTTATTATTTGTTACACAAAAGATTAATATCCCACTAAATTACAAGGAAAAATGGAAAATAAATATGACAGTTTCCTTTTAAATTATTCTCGAATAATAAAATTTTTAAGGCGATAATAAAAATACATTATCATAGTATTCTTGTCAGTAATAAATTTTATATAACACATTTTGAACATTTTTATTTCAAACGTGACACAGAAATATTACCAAATACTTGCAAAATTCGTTTTTGTGCTTACATCTAACTACCTCGTACTTTCTTAACACTAGATTTACGGAACCCGTTAATTTGATGGAAGGGTTGCTCCAATTATACGATGGTAACAGACTTAGTTAACTTATATTAAGACTATTGATATAATATATAATTGTTTTTAAATTAAACTAATCGTTAAAGAAAAAGGAACGTGGTTTCCTTTACTTGTCAATTTGACAGGTGTCCTTAGGAATAGGTACACAGATAGCGTCCGTAAACCTAGTGTTAAAAACGTAAAAATAGATTTTTTGATTATCACATCGAGTCAGCAGTATTGCAAAATTACACTCGCGTAAATGATTGAACTTATACAAGTGGGACTGCATGTTTTTGCACAATACTCGTTTAGTTCTCGAAGAAGGAAGGTTGGAAAGAATTACGCCATTCTCTGTAAGGATCAATAAGATCAGATGTTCCTCGAAAAATATAATGTGTACAAATGTTCAATAAAATATGATACTTCATCGATCGACATATATGTACAATATTTTAATATCATATTTAATTAATAAATTCTAATCCTAATAGTAATTCGAATTTTAATGTAATTTTAATTCTCGATCATTGGAATTCTAATGCAATTACAATATTATCAAGATTCTGATATTATATTTTTTAACGTGAAAGGTTGTTTCCTTTTTCAGAGGGATGCAGAAGCCATTCGTGGTGCGCTATACCTTGGTGTGGCCCTTACAATCGCGTGGCTAATAGGTGCTGCGGGTTTATCACTAGCATGGCTAGTACTAGTGTTAGCACTAGCAGCTACGATACTTAAAGCAAGGATATCCCGCCTTCTCGAATCGACCCTTCAACGCGAGCTAGCCAGGCTACGTCGAAGAAGAGCTTTGTACAGAGATGAAACCGCTGAATGGCTGACTTTACTTCTCAACAAATGGTAATTATTAAGTTTACATATATCTTCCAATAATTTTTACTCTTTCGCATAGGATTTTTGCGAATTTTCACATATCGAATTTTCCCAGTGTGGAGTAAATCGATTGTTTCGCGTCCAAAATATTAAAATATTTTAATAAAATTAATAAATATTATATAAAACATGTTGCTTTTGATATTGATTGTTGGTACAACATTTACAATCAACGAAATTGTTCATTGTAAATAATGTTATTCATTATTTAATGTAAATAATGTGATAATGTTAATTGTAAATAATGCGTGCTTATGTCCATAGTTATGTTTATTCTCCAGATTTTCACTTGCCTCACTGGTTATCTCTCGATTGTCAAACAAGATTACAAAATAGGGAAATTTGTACTGTTATTTGCAGCAGGGTTTATAATCTTACAAATGATACCTTTCCTTCCGTTTTAAGATAATTTGCATTAAACATGGTACTGGTAACGTGCCTAATTGTGCACTATAAACGTAATAGGAAAATTAGAAAATTGCACAAACAGTCTCACAGTGACGTTGTATAAGTAATTTAATTCACGTGAGGCTTTAAAGCAATAGAATATAATATGTCACATAATATAAAAAATAGAATTTTTATTTGATATTTTATAATCAAGGAAAGCTGTACTTACAAGGAGAGTGCAAGTCCTTCGGATCACCGATTTAGTTGAAACTTTTCAGCTTTGTAGATATCGTCATGCAATTTAAGAAAATATATCATTATAGCGCAACTACTCGATAGTTTTTGAGATATTTGAGATTAAAGTTCTATTACATCCTTAATTACACACTTATTTCTATTGTTTTCCAAAGTGATATGTAGCGTAACGGCGAAGATCGAGAATTCGTATTTTGCAGGATTACGGTTCGATTCCCCATCCCATAGCTTTTTCAATATATTTTTTATTTTGTATTTATTTTTCGCCTATGAAAACATTGTAAACACACAATTATAAATAAAAGTTTTTGATAAAAAAATTTATATTTTACGCTGTTTTATGCTAGTATATATTTATTACAAAATAATAAGAATATTATGCAAGAAAAATACTTCTCTATAGCAATCTTATTTACTACAGGAAATACAAAACCTATCGCTCATGTAAGTATTAATTATTAAAGTAAACATCCTATAAGAATGTTGCCTATAATTCCAACTTTGCTGTGCAGCTATTAATGTTCATAAATTAATTACAAAAACTTGGAAATTTATTAATTTTCTACAGCCGAATTGATTTCAAATATCTAGTTCGAATAAAAATTTTACCGCCTGCGATCAGCGCCATCTATGATTTGGGCTCAAAAAGCCAGAAAGTGATAGGAATATAGAATAGGCAAGGAGGTAGACTGAGAGCTGGTCACGTGACTGACAAGGACAGAGAGGGGATAGAAAAGGATAGAATGGCCCCGGCAGGGAAAAATTATTAATTACTCAATTTCCGTAAACAATTTGTGAACTTTTATAATTTTGATGCAAAGCTGGAACTTCAGGCTACATTCTTATATAATCTTCGTAAACAATTTAACTCTAAATTGTTAGTTATTAATTTTTGTTTCATGGCGTCTATGATTTCGTAACGACGACCATCGCGATCTTCCGTGAATATATTTAATAGTAAACGAAACTAGAAGCAAAATGTGATCAAAAGTTATATGAGAAGATTCGCAAGAACATTGTCTTTCTAATGAGTGCATAAAGTTTCATAAATTAATTGCGTAGAGGATAGTAATTAATGAAAAACCAATGGCGTCTACGACAACAATTCAAACACTGCATAGATTAATAATTAATAATTAATTAAATAGGGACAAATTTCTATCGAAAAATATATTGGAAAGTTCTTGAAGGATCTGCCTTTACGATGCAATTATAAAAGTTCATAAATTAATCGCAGGAATTGAAAAATTAATTAATTTTCTAATAAAACTTCAAAAAGGAACAGTTAGCGCCGCCTATAATTTTTATCTGGAAGCTTGTGCTCCGTTAGTTCCAGTACAAAGCTATAGGCGGCGCTGACTGTTCCTTTTTGAAGTTTTATTAGAAAATTAATTAATTACTCAATTCCTGCGATTAATTTATGAACTTTTATAATTGCATCGTAAAGGCAGATCCTTCAAGAACTTTCCAATATATTTTTCGATAGAAATTTGTCCCTATTTAATTAATTATTAATTATTAATCTATGCAGTGTTTGAATTGTTGTCGTAGACGCCATTGGTTTTTCATTAATTACTATTCTCTACGCAATTAATTTATGAAACTTTATGCACTCATTAGAAAGACAATGCTCTTGCGAATCTTCTCATATAACTTTTGATCACATTTTGCTTCTAGTTTCGTTTACTATTAAATATATTCATGGAAGATCGCGATGGTCGTCGTTACGAAATCATAGACGCCATGAAACAAAAATTAATAACTAACAATTTAGAGCTAAATTCTTTACGAATGTTATATAAGAATGTAGCCTGAAGTTCCAGCTTTGCATCAAAATTATAAAAGTTCACAAATTGTTTACGGAAATTGAGTAATTATTAATTTTTCCCTACCGGGGCCATTCTATCCTTTTCTATCCCCTCTCTGTCCTTGTCAGTCACGTGACCAGCTCTCAGTCGACCTCCTTGCCTATTCTATATTCCTATCACTTTCTTGCTTTTTGAGCCCAAATCATAGATGGCGCTGATCGAAACGGCCGAATGAGAAACCACGTGACCCGACGGCGGGAGAAACAAATCGATAAAAGAACATAAATAAATATAATACATTTTTCTTCCTTTTTTTTACTTTCTTAATAGCCCGTCGAACATGAAGTCACAGATGAATATGCGTGGTTTTGTTCTTGAGAAAAAGAAAATGAAACTACGATGGTTATATGTTAAAGTACTTTTTATTAACTTTGAAAGTTTCACATACAAAAGTTGTTAACGACATAATAAACAATGACATATACACATTAGAATCTGATTAGATGTCCGTATCACGGACCATTGCGAGAAAAAGATGTTTCGCAATACATATCACGTAATAAGTATCATTATAATGACCATATATATACGTACAATATTCATAGACATATGATAAATGATTCTATTCGAATACATGAGTTATCCTAATAATTCTTGATTTCTCTTATCGTGCATCTCCTCGGCTTTCCCTTATGCTAAACATAATAAGGAGTGTTCCATTTCTTATTCATTTTCCTTTATATTCTTATCATCTTCAACATCATCTATTTTATAATTTTGTACTTTCTTGAGTTTCTTTTCTGTATCTTTCAATGTATTTTTTATCCTTTTCTTCATAGCTCTGAAAATACAAATATAAGAGACAGTCAATAAAAATTCCTACTTTCTATAACATAGTTATAATGTATACAATAAACTAACTTTTTTTCTTTCTTTACAACTTCTAATTCTTTTTGAGTTTTTACTTCGCTGTCACTTTCCCAATTGCTATTACGGCCTTTCTTCCTTTTTTTATTTGCAAGTCCAGATGGATCAACAGCTGGTTGTGAGATTAATTTTGGATCAGTTAAATGATCATGAGCTGATTTTCCATTACCAGTAAACGTTTTATTTAATGTCACAGATTCTTCTTCATCTTCTTTTGCTTCTCCACCAAATGATAAAAGATTGAAATCTCTGTAACAAAATTTTTCATTGCAAAGAACAATACTATCAAGGTTAAATTCTCCAAACATATATGATTTTTACTTTACTGCTGCTGTTTTAGTTTTTGAACTGTCTTTTACTTCTTCAGTTTTCTGTACTATTATTCTTGGTATAATATCAGAAAATGGATTGCTCAATATTATAGTCTTTATCAATCTTGGAGGATAAAGTGGTCTATCATTCTACAAAAGAGAGGAAATATTATATTTATATCAATACTTGATATATTTTCTTGTAAACATTAAATTTACCTCATCTACAAATGCTTCTTCAAGTTTAACCATGTTATATATAGTTCCTTCTGTAACTTTACCAAAGATTGTATGTTTATTCTGCAAATCTTGCGTAGAACCAAGATTATGGAGGAATTGGGAACTATTGTCATCTTTTCCAGCATTAGGCATAGCAATTAAACCTCGTCCACAAGAACGTAATCTTGTACGAAATTCGTCCTAAAACACATAAATCTAATAATTATTCTTGAATAAAAAAAGGAATTCATTTTATTTTTAAATATGGTATCACTTTAAATGGTTCTCCATACATTTTAACATCTTCTCCTGTACCTGTGGAATCACCATCCTGTATTAGGAATCCTATGATAATTGTATGAAATCTCGTGTCACCCTAATATCCTTCCATATATAATTGTATAAAATTTCTACATGCCTTTGGAGTTTCTTTTGCCCATAATTCTAACTGAACATCACCAACAGTTGTTTTCATTACAACCTAGTTTGACAAATATATTAGTTTGATTAATGTAAAATACTTATAAAATCAAGTTTATTAAAATTTATTATTGTAATTCAAATTAGAAATTATTTAATATATTAATATAGATATTTAAAAAGTAAATATCGTATATCGGTTAAACTTTTAAAAACAGACATATAATTTATTTAAATTTTATTAACTAATACCTATTACTTTACTCTTGGTGGCTAGCTCTTGCATATGAATATTACTCATGTCTGTAAGTCTCCTATAATAAAAAAAATCTTTCATTAATAATATTTCATATTATTTTAGTCATTTATAAATCAGTCAACCAAATGGTTCTTTTCTAGAATAATCATCAGCAAGTAAGACGTACCTTTTACCTCCTTTTAATGTTGACTTTCTTAGCCCAATCAATTCCATGTGCCACAGTCCCATTATTCGTCCTGCTTTTATAGCTCTCCAAGTTCCTATAGATATTTTTACACATTTGTGCCTAAATGTAACATTTACACTGCGTATTCAATTTATCTTTAGCTTTTACAACTATTACCAAGTATTCATTCTTCATCTAATTCCGAAAAAACC